ATTCAATGAACACTCACAATTAACAGTGACCTGGTTGCCTTGTGACCAGTGGCAATTAACAGTGACAGGTTGCCTTGACTTATATTGCCTTTATGTGGTTCCTTAGCAGCAACTAAGAAAATTACTCATTAATGAGTAATATTCTTAGTTGCTGCTAAGGAACCAAATAAAGCAATATAAGTCAAGGCAACCTGTAAATGGGTCTTCTGACACTCTGGACGAGGATAGATTTGCACAACACAACGAACCACCGAGTGCAATCACTCTGTGTTAGTATTTTAACCTGATAGGCGAAAATTCCTTTTGGTAGATGGGCAGCTATAAACAAATGTTTAATACGTTGAAAAAAATAATAAATTGCATCTAGGCAAAGTACAAAAGCCTGTTTGGGGTAGTGGTGAAGGCACCAGGCTAGAAACCAGGAGACCCTGAGTTCTAGTCTTGCCTTGGTCACAAAGCCAGCTGGGTGACCTTGGGCCAGCCCCTCTCTCTCAGCCCTAGGAAGGAGGCCAGGGCAAATCACTTCCGAAAATCTTGCCAAGAAAACCGCAGGGACCAGTTCCAGGCAGTCGCCAGGAGTCAAGACTGACTTGAAGGCACCAAAATAAATAAATAAATAAATAAATAAAGTAGAAGTGCTATTGTTCCTCCACAACATCAGTCTTGCGAGGTGGGCTTAGCAGAGAGAGACTGGCCCAGAGTCTCCCAGGGAACAGGAGGAGTGATTCTTAATGAAATCTTTTAACTAATTTCATGCCCAGCTGTTCGATGCTAACATGAACACTTACTCCCAGTTATCCCCATTCCCGTGCATATCAATTGAGATCTTTAAAATAAATGAGCAAAAGAAACCCACTCTCAGACACACATTTGCACGCTCTTATTTATTTTGGATGTACTGTATGCTTGAAGGGCAAAGTAGTACACCTAACACTTCTTCCTCCTATTTTTCCTGCAATCAAACTTGGAGGGAGGGATCCAGAGTCCCCAGAAAGCTTCCGTGGCTGAAGGGGGACCACAACCTGGGTCTCCCCACTCCTAGTCCAGCATCTTCACCATCACCCCACATTGGCTCTGGGGCTGAGAGGGAGGGACTAACTCTAACACCCCCTGCCAGCCCCACAGCTTCTGGGGAAGCTGGGCCTCCCCACTCACAGTCCGGCAGCTGAATCACTAGACCACACTGCCTGCCATGAACTACCTCCTCTATGCATCTAGTGAACCCAGAAAACTGGATTGCCTAACCCAGAGTTCCTCAACCTTGGGTGACTTGAAGATGTATGGACTTCAACTCCCAGAATTCCCCAGCCAGCCATGCTGGCTGGGGAATTCTGGGAGTTGAAGTCCATACATCTTCAAGTCACCAAGGTTGAGGAACCCTGGCCTAACCCAACCTTGGGTGTTCGTTGGCGCTGTCATCTTAAAGCTATATTGAGCAATGTGCACTGCCTTGCAACAAAAGGCTTACCCAGGTTAATTTAACAATGGCTTATTCAATTCACCCAATGTTTGAGTTGATACTGAGGTCTTCTTCCCCCCCCCAAAAAAAAATCTTGTGAAAAAGCTCCTGTTTAAGTGAAGTGACTTCTCAAGCTTTCCAATGTTGCCATGAGCAATTCTTTCAACCGAACACTTAATTATTCATTTTTTTCTGCTTAATATTTTATCAGTCAGGATCCTTTAATCAATATGGCATCAATAGATGGCTTTTTTGCCTTATACGGTTTATACTGTATTTCTGTTTGCCACGTTTTTGCTACTGTAGCTTTAAGAAGAAAACCCTCTTCTCATTGTTATTCAAGGCCATCTGGGGCTTTAGAAAAGGACAGGCCCACCTTTGTATTTTCTTTCTTGTTCTGCTAACCTTGAATTTCCCTCCCAGCTTTTCCAGGGTTATTCCAGTGCCTCCATAACTGGATTTTCCCCTCCCACCTGAGAGGAGGTCTCTCAGAATCAATGTATCTTAGTCCTGCCTCTGATGGCTGTTAATAGCTTTATCTCCTGATCCCTAAAGCACATCAGGACATTCCCTCTGTCATTGTTTCTATGATTTCCTTTCCTTTCTCCTATTATCTTGAAAGTTTACCGTCTACAAGACATATGTAAAAATCTGTACCAAAATACAGTGGGGTATCCAAATAAAAGGAGAAAGATCTCCCCAATCCAGAATTTAAAATCAAATGTAATTGCCTTTTGCCCTGTATGCAAATGCTGCTAATTTCCTTAACAGAAAGGGCAGGCCCTTCCTTTTGTAAATTTCCTCTTTTCCTACAGATACTTTCTTAAGGTTTCTGAGGCACAACAGCTATTCCACAAAGCTGGCATTAGATTAATTTCACTCACCTATTTGCTGGATACTTTCTGACCGCATAAAGGACATTTTCCCACTTTCGCTTATCAAACCTTATATTCTATTTGCTCAATAGAAAGTTGCTATTTGCAGATTTAGGGTTTTTCGTAAGAGTGGAAGCCAAAGTCTAAGGTCCAGCCAATAAGCAATACGCATGTGCGAGAGGGTTATTGATGACAGTGAACAATAGCATAATGATTTATTATCAAAAAAATATTTAGGCAGAAGTGGTGAACGCCTTTTTCGGAAAATCCCTTGGTTCTTGTGCATTACACTTCTTTGCGAGATGTCAGGAGTGTTTCACTACCGTAGTGCTAATCGGTATTACTGTAGTGGGATTCTTCACAATGTTATAATTATTCTGTTCTTACAACAAATGTGTGCCTGTATAAACAGCGTGATTATTTTACCAGTAAGGAACATTGGATTATATCTTATTACGATACACATTGTTGATTATTATGCCTTAGCCGATGTACGATGTAAAGATTATTTCATCAGTTAACACAACTGTAATATAATCTGACTTCAGTACCACTACACAGCTGGTGGTGGTTGTGTTATTATTATTGTTGGCCGCACAGTCAGCCAGATGTTTAGACTGGCTTTGGCATTTTTGTCCACCTATCGAGTCCTTCCCAAGGTCCTGAGATAGGCAGATGTTGTTGTTTTAATAATATTAAAGGTACCGTTGCGGAATAGAAGGAGTTCCAAGAAATGCTGCCTTTTGCAATGGACTGAGGGTGATTTTGTCAACGCTGATGGTCTTCAAGTGGCGCTCCAGGTGTTTTGGGATTGCACCCAAGGCACCTATTACTATTGGTACTCTCTTTGCTTTCTGTTGCCATAATCGTTCCATTTCTAGGTCTTTGTATCTTGTGATATTCTCCAGTTCTTTCTCTTCTATTCTGCTGTACTGTTTTATTATTATTATTGTTATTATTATTATTATTGCCACTTCTCCCATTCAGCACCATTCTTTTTTTTTTTTTAAATCAATGTACTTATTTTATTGATTTAATTTCACGACTTTCCTATCAACTCCACCTCTGTGTTTCACTTTGGAATCCGACGCGTCCTCCGACGTTCGGCCCCCCATTCCACAAGAACAATAGAGACCACGCCGGTAGAGCGTCCCCGCGTGGCCGCTCTGCTATGCGTGCTTTGTGGAAGGAAGTAGCCGCGGGAAGAACGGAGGTCCTCGTGGCTTGGGTCGCGCTTCCGGACAGAGGTAGGTTGGGTCTTCTCCTCCCCTATCATCCCTCGCTCCCGCGGCAGTTGGGCAGCCATAAGGGATAGGAAACCGAGGGCGGGCCAAGATGGTCGAGGCAGACCCTTTCGGGCTGGTTCTGACCCAATATGAGCCCTGGGGAGCCCGGGAGGCGTCTTTAGGTTGCCTCCCCCCACCTCATATGGGAGCGCAGGGCGCCATTCGTGCAGCGGCTGTGGGAGGGTCGCTGGGGCAGAGGCGTCCTCAGTCAGGCCAAAGGGGAAGAGGGAGGGAGGCTCATTAGGAGCCCTGAAGGAGCAGCTGGTTGCTGCAACCAGGAGGAGAGAGGGATCTGGTGGAGGCAGCAAGGGCTGAGAACGGGGGAGGAGAAGGAGCTTGGCCAGGAGAAAGCTCTGCTGTGGCCTCAAATAATAATAATAATAATTATTATTATTATTATTATTATTATTGCCACTTCTCCCATTCAGCACCATTCAGTTAAAAAAAATTAAAAATCAGTGTATTTTATTGATTTAATGCATAATATGCGTAACTTAGTTGCTCGAGCAAGGCCATGCCCGGGTCCCGTTCTCCCCAAACTTTAGCGGCTTTACTCCCAGGATTCAAGCCTAATTCATGAGACTGTGTGCCATGTGCTCCTCTTGGATGCAGGCAAGTTACTTCTGATCCCTTTGGGAAAGGAGCATGTATTCCACAAACTCTGCCTGGAGTAGTTGATTTCGTGTCTGGCATTTTTGGATGTGATGTAGGTAGCTCTAGGAAGTTTTGGACCTCTTGGGCAGCAGAGACAACATCTTCACAATATAGTAATTGGAGGCTTGAGTTATAAAACCTAACACCCAAGTGAGTCCACAGTTGTACAGTAATCCTGCCTCCCACATGTTCTTGTTTATCAGCGTATAGTGTTTCTTATGTTTATTCAAGAGCCATTTTTATATCATAGAATAATTTAACCAGTGTGGCAAATGGCCAGGAACATGGCATGAGACATCAGCCTCTCCTCATAAGCTATACTGTATACAAGCAAGCATTTCCCACTGTATTTATTTGTTCGATTTATAGCCTGCATCTGTAGAGGAATGCAAAGCAGCATACTTAACTTCTCCGGTTTTTCCTCACAATGACAGTGCTGTTGGGCTAAGAGAGAGGCACTGGCCCAAAGTACCCTATCAGTCTCCATAGCTGATGGCAGGCTGGAACCTGGGACTTCTCACTCTGAGTCCAACACCTTCACTACTACACCACTCTGGAGTCTTGTCATTTAAGCAGAGGATTTCTCACTTCAAAATGGTGGGAAGCTATGCTGTACTTTTTTTCAGCAGTCATGGTCAGAGGTCTCCAATCAGAGCCTGTGGGTCCAGAGTCAGAACTTTGGGCCGCAGGTTGCCCACCACTGATCTACAGAAGGAGGGCCTGTACCTGAGGTGATTGGTGGCACTATTAATATGATGTAGTATTTAAAGTGCTGCCCTAGCAGCAGGGTGATTTCCTTGGGCATGGAAGCTGACTCGGTGATGTTGGGCCAGTCGTTCAGTCCCAAAAACAGAATCAAGATCTGTGACAAGCCTGCTGTTGAACAAATCCTTTGTCACATCGTGTATTGATGGCTTTACCTTGTCAACTAGGCAAACACACTGTAAATAAAGTGGACTCTGCAATTAAGGAGAAGTGCTAGGAAGAAAAATAAGTGTGCGTGTGTGTACAGAGAGAGAGAGGGACGATGTGCATGTATGTATATACACACACATGCACGTGCACACAGACACTTATTTTTCTTATATGTGTGTGTGCTTGCATGCGTGTGCACACATACATACACACATAGATACACGCACACTTATTTTTCTTCCTAGTGTTTTGTTCTGCTTAATTGCAGGGTTCACTTAGAACATTGAGTTACACATGTAAGATAATTTTCTGTCTGTTCCAGCTTTGATGGCTTCGGTTTCAATATATTCATTATACTAATAGGAAATCTCATGCATGGATAATCCCAGTGAGGTTTTGTATAATCATTTAAAATACAAATTTTGGAAAACAGGCTGACAGAGGAAAGAGAAAGTAACAAGGGTCTCCATAGGAGTGTCAAAAAAGTCAAGATGGCCACAGCCATAGATCCAAGCCCCACCCATTTGTGTGTACCACAACACACAAAAGGGTGGGGCTTGGATCACACAGATGTGGCCACTGTCGTAACATTTTTGACCCCTTCCCTACAAACACCCCTGGAAAGCGATCTGCTTTGTATGCTGCAAGCCCTGTCTTTACAGACCTTTAAGAAGCCAGGACTGCTTGGCCAAATCCTTCCATTTTTAATTAAAGGAAGCACTAAAGAAAATGTCAGGTGAGATAGGAACTTGGTGGGGGGCCATGAAGCTGTATCAGCAGTCCTATGCATAACTTAGTTCCATGTTCAAAAACTATGGTTTAAACATACCATGGCTTAGCATGCTTAGTAAACTTTATCACAGTGAGCTAAATTTAGAGGCTGGAATGTCTTACCCTTTTTTATTCTTTCGCAGGTTGTAAAAGAGTGTAAAGACGAAGGGCTACAGCGGAGCCAAAACAGGTGGGAACATTATTTAGAGAGTTTGCTGATGACTCTTGGAGCAAGCTGATAAGTGAAATGGAGTGAATCACCTTCTCTCTTTCAGGATGACTCAAAAGTAAGAGAACAGCCTAGCTGGTCTCTAGACTGAGAACAGTTTCTCAAGCTCAGACAGGCATTTGATACCACCCTTTTCAGGGACTATACCACCACAAATGCCCTTGAGAGAGAAACAGTTACATTATTTTTTTAAAGGTATTTCAGATTTTATTCCTTCACTTCTTAATTTCTATTCAGGTAATCCTCATTGAACAACTACTGGTTCAGCAATTGTTCATAGTTATGACACTACTGAACAAGAGCAACTTACAATGGGTCCTTGTAGTTGTGGCCGTTGCAGTGTCCCCCCTGGTCACGTGATCGTGATTTGGGCACTTGGCAACCGGCTCGCAATTATGATGTGATAGCATCCCATGGTCACATGATTGCCATTTGAGACTTTCATTGCTGGCTTCTGACAAGCAGGGTCAATGGGGAAGCCAGCAAGAGGTCACAAATGAAGAACACGTGACCATGAAATGTTGCGCTGCGTGGGGCAACTGAAACTGCCACAAGTGCCGTCATAAGTTGGCACAGTCACGTGACTTGTGCTTTACAACTGCGTCACTTAGTGACAGAGTTGCTGGTCCCAATTACCATCATTAAGGGAGGATTACATGTACTCCTTTTATTCTCACAAGAACTACTGGAGTACATAGTTAAAAATGTAATGAAAAATTTAAAAGGGTTGAAAATAGAAGTGATAAAACATAAGCTGAAATTTGCTTCCTTGTTCAGAAGATGGTGAGCTTTGAGGATGTGGCCGTGCATTTCACAGAAGCAGAATGGGCTTTGTTGGGCCCAAAAGCAAGGGAGGTGTACAAGGACGTCATGTTGAAGACCTATGAGAATATGGCCTCCATGGGTAAGTAGCACTTTCTCTGTTTCTCCCTCAACCACTAGAAAGGGCTCAACCATTGAGATTAACCTGGGGAGGTTCTGGATTGATGAAAGAAGTATTGCTTAAAATGATATGGGATGTGTGTAAGAACCGCGGTACTCAGTTCCCAATGAAAGCAACTCTCATTGAAACCAATGGAGGTTCGAAGGAAAGTTCATTTATTGGGAAGTAGTGAACAGCTCTAGAGCATAGCTGGAACTGAGTCCCGCGCGCACCAAAACTTAGTTTTACCTCACCCCCATTTCACTCCCCCTTGAAATCTCTCTTGCGCATGTCGAAGACGTCCTCAGGTTCTCGTGTTATACGGCCTTGGGCATTCCTGAGAGTGAGATAACAGCCCAACTGCGCCTAGCAATTAACATTCCCATCCTCCCCCTGCTTTCTCCCTCTCTCTGAAATGGCAGAAACGAAGCAAGCGAACTAGCAGTGTGAGTGATTGATTGCAAGGATTCTGACAATGTGCTTCCATCCAATGTGTTGATGGTGGCCAATTTTTATTGCTTTAAAAGGCGACTAAAAGATGCACAGATAGTATCAGGTTTTCCAGTCTTGAGGGCCGTTTGCAGTCTCTGGAATCACAAGCGGTAGGTTTTAAATGCCAACTTCGTATGTGCAGGAGAACTTCCCAAATTACAGGTACTCCTCACTTACCAATAGGGACTGGCAAGTCTGTCACTAAGTGGTGCGGTCGTTAAGCATGATGTCACATGAGCGTGCCGACTTACAATGTCAGTTCTGGTTGCAGTCATTAAGCGAATCACTGCGAGTCATTAAGTGTGACATCACGTGATCACGACTTGTGACCTCCTGCCAGCTTCCCTATTGATTTTGCTTGTCAGAAGCCGGCTGTGATGGTCGCAAATGATGATTATATGACTGTGGGATGCTGCGACTGTCATCAATGTGAGCCAGTTGCCAGTTGCCCGAATCACGATCACATGACTACAGGGAAGTTGCAATGGGTGCAACAGGAAGCAGTCGTAAATCTCGTTTTTCAGCACTGTCATACCTTTGAACGGTTGCTGAGTGAGTGGTTGGTAAGTGAGGACCACTGTATTTTTCTTTCCATTTAGGATGGCTGAAGGAAGAACAGATTGAAGGAACTAAGCATGTTTAACCTAGAAAAGAGTTGGGAGGGTGTGTCATCAAATTGTTCAAAAAACTGTCATATAACCCGGAGTGAAAACTAGTTTTCTCTATCCCTGAAATCAGGTAAAGTCTAAGAAAATTAAGTCAGATGAGGCAAAATTTCAGATCAGTCTGAGGAGGGTCATGCTGCTGCTAAGAGCAGTTTGAGGGTGGAATCAATGTCCTAGAGAAGTGGCTTGCCTTTGCTGGAAGTCTTCAGACCTGGTAACCAGCTGGGAATTGTGCAGCTTCCCACACTGAGTACAAGTTGAGAAGCGGGGTCTTGTGGGCTTCTTCCCAATTTGTAATTTAGAGCTCTGATTGGCTGTGTCCAGATGAGGTTCCCAGGACTGTGCTTTGTAGCTGAGATGGGACCCTTCTTGCCCCTCCAAAAGATCTCAATTTTTTGGAGTTGGATTAGTATTACCAAAGTTTTTCTTCCAAGGATACAAAGAAAGGGGAGCACGTTCCTTCTCATCTTGTTTCCTTCCTTCCTCTGTCCTTCCCTCCCTCTCCAAACAGGACTTTCTTTTTCAAAGCCAGATCTAATCTCCTGTTTAGAACAAGGGGAAATCCTGTGGGAATCTGATCAGCAGAGAGAGATCCCTTCTGGACCCTGCTCAGGTGAGGCGTTTTGATCCAATAATTTGACAGGTTTTCAATAAGAAGAGAGAGGGTCAAGAAGGAATGGGTATTGAATCAATGTTAACTGAATAAAAAAGCAAGAACAGGCAGTCCTTGAGTTAGGACCATTCGTTCAGCGACCATTCAAAATTATGTTGGCACTGAACGAGGGGGGCTTAAAACCAGTCTATGAAGTTGCCGCTGTCACAGTGTTCCCGTGGTCACGTGATCACCATTTACAACCTTCCTTGCCACCTTCCCACAAGCAAAGTCCATAAGGAAGCCAACAGGAAGGTTGCAAATCGCTCCTGTTAAGTCACTCCCACTGCCTTTTCTCCTGAGAAGCCCCACTATGGAGTATGAAATCCCAGGGATCTCGTACTCCGTAGCAGCACTCCGTAGTGCACATCCGCTTGCAGCAACCCCCCACCCGCCTGCGCTCCCTAATGCCTGCCTGCAGCACCCCTATCCAGCACCCATGCGCCCTCCATGCTCCTTTCCTGGGACTCCCGCCCCTTCCTGCTTAATGACCCACATGATGCTGGGGTTACAACGGCAACTGGGACTACCAGGGTTGCCATTGCTAAGTGATTGGTCATGTGACATTACACTTTATGACTGCATTGCTTAGTGACAGAAATTCCGGTCCCAATTTCCGTTGTAACCCAAGGACTACTTATAACCAGTTTGAAAGAGTTATGTGGAGTTGCTTTGGTTATAGAGAGAGAATGAATGGGGATTGAATTACAAAACAAATATATAATAGAGAGGAAGGGAAGATATGTTTGATGGAGTTGATGAGGTCTTCAGAAAGAAGGGAGCGATGTTTTTTTGTGTCTTAAACAATGTGTGAATTTATGAACGGATGTGTAGAAGCAAGGATGTTTTACAAAGATAGAAAATATGGAAAGATATCATGAAAGGTTGTTTAAATTAGAATTAGCTTTTATGCTTTCTTCTTAACTCAGTTATAATTTTAATTCTTTCTTGAAGTTGCTGCAAAGGAGGTTATGCTGTTATGTCCCACTTCTCTTCTATTCCAACAGGACCTGAGCAAGGGAGTGAGAATGAAGAGATGTCCATTCAGGCATTGGAGAAACAGAAGGCAATGAGGTTGCAGACTCCTTTGACTTGCAAGGAAAATGGGGAGAGCACAGAGATTAGGCCAGGAGCCAGGAGGCAGCAAAGAAAACATCTTAGGAAGCAAAAGGCCAAAGCCATTCCTAGCAAGAAAAGTCGAGTCCAGAGGAACTGTCTCAGGAATAAGAGTCCAAAGAACAGCTCGGCTTCCAAAGTGCCTAACAGAAGGAGATCAGAAAAATGTTCAATCTGTGGCAAAACCTTCTGCAATAACACTTACCTGGTCATTCATAAGCGCTGCCATACAGGAGAGAAGCCTTATAGATGCTCCGAGTGTGGGAAGAGTTTCAGTTCCACATCAAACCTTCTTTCTCATGGGAAAATCCACAGTGGAGAGAGACCCTATCAATGCTCAGATTGTGGGAAATGTTTTGTATGGAACCGAGACCTTCAAAAACACCAAACCGTCCACACCGGGGAGAAACCCCATGCATGTTCCTCCTGTGGAAAGAAGTTCAGGAGCAAAGCACATGTGGTTAGACATGAAATAATCCACCAAGACGAGAGGCCTTTCACGTGCTCAGAATGTGGAAAAGGATTCCGATACAAAGAGCATCTCGCTCTTCACAAGAGGATTCATACAGGAGAGAAACCCTACAAATGCTCAGACTGTGGGAGGAGTTTCAGTTGTGGAGGGAATTTTCGCAGACACAAGAAAACTCATGGAGGAGAGAAATTGCATACGTGTTCAGATTGTGGGAAAAGTTTCAGAAATAATTCAGACCTGAAATTACACAGAAGAATCCATACTGGTGAGAAACCTCATCGCTGTTCATTCTGCAATAAAAATTTTCGCTGCAGCTCAACCCTTGTAAAACATAAGAGAACCCACAGTGAAGAAAAACCATATAAATGCCCAGAATGTGGCAAATGTTTAAGTCAAAAAACTTGCCTTGCTTCTCATATGAAACTGCATAAACACCAGTGTTCAGATTGTGGGAAAATGTTCAGCCAACTTGCACGCCTCCAGCTGCATAAAAGGAAACATACAGGTGAAAAACCATTTGAATGCGTGCATTGTTTAAAAAGTTTTGATTGCAGGTCTTCACTGATGATTCATGAGAGAATCCATACAGGAGAAAGACCCTATGTATGCTTAGTGTGTGGGAAACGCTTCGTACAGAAATCCAAACTGGTTCGTCATGAGAGAATCCACACGGGGGAGAAACCATTTCAGTGTTGGGCTTGTGGGAAAAGGTTTAACAACAGCTGTGGTCTTACGGCGCACAGAAAAATTCATGAGCGAGAGAAACTGTTTCGCTGTTCAAATTGCAGAAGTTTTGTGCGGAGGTCTGACCTCCTTAAACACAAGAGAACCCACGAAGAGGGGAAATCATTTAAATGTATGGACTGTGGGAAGACCTTCATTCAAAAAACACAGCTAACTAAACATTGTAAAACCCATACACAAAAGGTTGTCTAAGAGCAAGGGCAATATAATACCTGAGCTTTCCAGTTCTTTGGAGACAAGTGGGACTAATTGAACAAAGGGAAATTAACCTGTTTATTGCATTTATGCAGTTAATTTCACCTGGTATCCTACATCTATAGCCTAAACCCACTCCTCAACCTTCTACCATCTTCCCTTCTTGCCAAGTGGTGCTCAGCTGTCTCTAGAAGGGGGCAAGTCTCCCCCCCGCCACATACTGTCTTTCAGGAGAATAAAAGTAAGCAATATATAATGAAGTAATTTCTGTTTTAAAATATATGCAATAAAATAATTGCTGCTTGTACAGCTTTGAAGTGTGTGACGAGACGTATCAGCTCTTCCTCCTTTGGAGAAGAAAAGAGTTAAAATCAAACTTTGCAAGAGGTAAAGAAAATAACATTTTATTCACTGTAAATTTCAGTCAGTTAATGCTGAGGCTGTGGGGAAATGCTCAATCCCACTGGTTTTTCGCCCTCAGTCCAGCAGCATTTCTACTGTGATGGGAAAACTCAGCTAGGAACACACCAACAATTGGGGAAGATCACATAGTTGTTTTATTAAAGCTAGAAAGCTACGGTGAGTTGCAGGTCTCCTGCGAAGAATGAAAAGTGCCAGAGCGTGTTCAATCAAATTGTGGTTGTGGGGTTACAGAGAATGACAAGGGTACATCTGATTTTTTTTTTTTTTGCGATTGATAAAGGGTACAGATAGGGGCCTACCTATGTGCAGAAGGAGAACACTTTGTAATGCAGTGTGTTTAGCCTTTGAAAAAGCGTGAATGCCAGTTTGATGAACAAGAATTAAGACACCCCCCAAAGTATTAACACTCCTCATAAGCTTGCCTACAGAAATAATAGAGATGGTTTTAATAGAAATTAGAAGCACAGAGGCTTTCCAGAGTGTTGCAAAACTAAGCTTGCTAAAGGTAACCCCAAATGTATCATGGGACAAGGCGAACAGCAGGAAACAAGAAACCGGCACTGTGGTTAGAAACGATGCTGGAAGAGAACAGTTATTACAATATGGTATATGCAGATTAGCTTGGGCATTAGAAGTGTTTATGTAACCCTAAATGTGTTAAATGTTGCTGACCATTGCAAGATACTGTATAAGAAATAGCAGAAACTTCAGTTAGAGATCCCCATAAAGGGTGACCACAAGGAGTTAGGTTTGTGGTAAATGTGCTATAAAGACCACCGAACAACGAAGTGGATACACGAGCTTTGAGAGAGATCTCCTTGCGTCTTTTCTCTGAGCAGAATAAAGTTTTGCTTCCATCTCCACCTCGGTGTGTTCTTTTGGGCATTTGGCACACTGGACTGAACCCAGACTTGGGCTGGGACAACATGTTGACCTGATTGTTGTTCTAACAGTTTGCACATGCATCTCCCTTTGAAGGGTAGAGTTGTAAACATACCCATAGTCAGTATCCTTGAGAAAGTTTTGATTTATGAGTCATACGGTGTGTGAGTCAAAGGTCATCCATTGGGGTAACAAAGGTTAACGAAGAAAGTAGTTGTGGCATGTTTATGGAGAAGTTAGTTTAGCAACTAAGGCTATTGTGGCTCGACACATTAACTTTGACATCAGCCAAGCAAGAAACAGCATATTCAGGGCTCATTGATGATCTAGATGTGAGCACATAGGAGGCATATAAAACAATAACAATTCTATTCATACTAGAATTAAAAGAACACAGCATTTTTCCCCTGCAGGAGACCAATGGGTTGGGGGGACTCTACTTGTGTGCCAAACCCTGGGAATATGAGCTGGTAGGGGGGACTACCTCACAACAGCTGTCTTAAAACAATAATCCTGTAGCTACCTACTAGATAGTAAGCCTGATAGAATTTAATGGGATTTACTTTTGAGTAAACATTAAAGCATTGAGGGTTTTATTTGTTCCATGTTGGTGAGACTTTGAAAACATGTTTGAAAATATAACAACGTTAAATAATTGAATTTTTACATTTGCCCATGTGGCCTAATAGATTTGTATACTATATTGTTTCTTATGCCAGAAAACTAGAATTTTCTGGAATTGGTGGTAGACATGTAGAAAATCAATGAAAAAAAACCACTGCATCTATGTTGAAAAGAAGAGCTAATTTAAAAAAAACTGAATGTAAGGTTATTCTTTTTCCTTCAAAATCATCATAGCTGTCCATGGGATGGGGGAGGGGGAATATACAAAATCGATCTATACTGATACATGGATTTTACCTCTGTTAGCCCAATGAATGCTGATGGATCTCATCAAGACCCAACTAGTTCAACTGTGTCATCTGGCAATGAATTACTACCTCTACTGGTATCTATTTCTTAAGAAGAATATAAGCCACGTTTTGCTGGATCCAACCTTGGTGACTAACCAGGTGTATTTGGGAAGCTCCTAAGCATGTAAAAGAGGGAATTGCAGCTGGTGGAATTTAAGAGATGGTGCCCGTGGTAGTAACAAGCCACCAAGACTATTGCGAACCCAACTTGATCCTCCTTGAATTGGACTTGACCACCATTGTCATCTTGATGTAGAGGCATCAGACCCAAAGACACACATCTATTAGTAGTAACCAACTGATCCTTTCAGATTCAGAGGTATAGTAATAATGCCATTAATGCCAGCGAGTGCATAGCCATAGTGGAGAAGAGTCCTGCTTGCAGGCTTCCTACAGTAGGGTGAAAACAAGATGGTAGACCAAATTCATCCTTGACTATTGATAGGCCTGCCCAAACGTTTTCTATGTTTCCTTACCAGCTCTTGCTGCTCCACCTTTTTACTACAGTGTGATCTGTTGCTATTAGCACTGGGGATCCCATAAATTTTCATGCTGCAGAAACTTCCAACAGTCTTATGCATTCCCATACGTAGGCCTCCCTTCATCCCTGTGACAGGAAGAAGAGATACCTCATTCCAAGGGAACACGGTATGATGACTACATCCTTGTGCTCAAAAATGTTCAACAGGAAAAATAAGAAAGATGAATTATTCATACATTCAAGACTGGGAAGATGAGAGAGAGAATTAGAACCACTTGTTAAAGCTAAGTATGAGAAACCACAGATTCCATCTATTTAAGTCGAATTTCATTCTTTTTCACTGGAGGACTGGACAACTGGGCATAGAAATTCAGAGGCCTAAATGTGCCCAAGAGCAGAAACCATGGCTGCCTGTCTTGGTAAGTACCTCAGCATTATTTTGTTTTTTTATTTGCAAACCCATCTTTTAGCGGCCTTTGAAAGTTCTCAGAAATTGTGGTTTCCTGCCACGTTGAACTGAAAAACACAGACATTGGAGAAGAAACCCTGATCTCAGCTTAACCCAATTGGGGGGGGGTGGGGGACCACCAACTCTATTGTGGAAAATTCAGCAGCACAGAGCCGAGGAGAAAGACCCATGTTGATTGCAATGATTGTTGGGTCCCAACTTTACAAGAAAGGGACACTGTTCGAATTTTATTTCTTACCTTATGGTTCATTTCTGAGCTGGAATGAAAGAGGCAACAGGCCACTGCGTGAAATTAAGTTCTTTATTCTTCACCCAAAAGCAAAAGTGATGACAGCAAGCTGTTAGGTGGGTGGCCACAGCTTAACCCCCTCCCCTCAGCACAATATAGACCAGTGTTTCTCAGCCGCAGCAGCTTTAAGATGTATGGACTTCAATTCCCAGAATTCCCCAGCCAGCATGCTGGCTGAGGGAATTCTGGGAGTTGAAGTCCACACGTCTTAAAGTAGCTGAGGTTGAGAAACACTGATATATACATTCCATTCAGCCCATTCTTTAGAATACCACTCAGTCACCCATTTCCTACCTTAATATCATTCCATATTAGGACCTTCCTTCCTTCCTTCCTTCCTTCCTTCCTTCCTTCCTTCCTAGGGCCCCTTGACCGTTAGCTAAACATATCTTCCCTAGGAAGAAACTATTCTTGGAATGTATCCCTTATCTTGTTTCTATGGGTGCAGCTTCTTATCTCTCAAGGTTAGTGAAAAAAGGCCTCCAAGCTTACAAACCTGAAGAAAAGAATAAAACAGGATTCAGAAATCCTTCATGGAAGTCTAAATGCTTCAATACTGAATATAACAATACACACACACACACACACGCATATATGAAATATATTTGTGTTTATATAAAATCTTCTGTCACCCAAGCAATGGGAAAGCCAGAAATCCTTCATGGAAGTCTAAATGCTTCAATACTGAATATAAGAATACACACACACACACACACGCATATATGAAATATATTTGTGTTTATATAAAATCTTCTGTCACCCAAGCAATGGGAAAGCAAAGATTTTTACAGAAGTTGAGCGCTATGAAGTGGGAAATTGGAGGTTGGACCAGAAGACCCTGGTCCAACCTCCAATTTCCCTTCCAACCCTATGGTTCTATGAAATCCTCCAGACCGGATTGGCTGGCCAGTTTTGGGGAAGCTAGCCAGGTACTTGGGGTTCCTCCTATTGTTAGGCCAAACGGTCCTTTCAGGAGCCACAGCAGAGCTGGGGGAGCCCATTGTTGAGGAGATGGGATGTTGGGACAATGGGAGGCGTGTCCTCGATTGAGGATGGAATGTTGGGGTTTCTCACCTTGTTACTACAGTATGTTGCAATTCCCTTATTAGGGCTGCCCTGGGGCTGTGCTGTGAGCCAACCAACCTTCTATTCTTTGACTTAGATGGGACG